GTCGCCTTCTCCACGTCGTGTCTCGGAGGGGAGGCTAAAGAGTGGGTCCTGGCCGAAGCCAACGCGGCAGGATTCGACGATATAGGTAAGTGGGCTGGAACAATGACCTTGAAACAGTTCCTAGATAAATTCAAGGAACGTTTCCTTGATAAGACGACGGCCGATAAGGCCTTCGACCAGCTCACTAGCGTAGGACAGAAACATTGGTCGTCGGTGGAAGCGTTGACCCGTGAGGTCGACCGATTACTGCAAGTACCAGGCTTAAATCTGCATGATGATCAGGTATTGTATATTTATGCCCGGGCCTTACCTGAACCCATACGAGGTCAGCTAGTGACCGAGTCAAAGTCCGGTAAGTATAAGTACAGGCAGTTTCGCGATCTGGATCTCCAGAGAGAGCAAATGACTTCTCAGGTAAAGCAATCGTATGCATCTGTGGTGAAATCTGGTGGTCATGCAGGTGCAAGTAAGCGAGTGTTGTGGCGCCAGAAGCGCGCCGATCACACCCTCGTCGTCTTTGACGACGATACCATAGAGAAGTGACCATTGGAGGTCGAGGGTGTGTCAGGCAGCAACGGGTCTGGAAAGGACGAAGTTGTTGCCGCCATGGTTAAGAAGGGAGGACCAAAACCTGGTGTGAGGAGGAGGCCCCGATCTTTCCCCGAGCATCCCGGCATCGCGGCTGGGAAGCCTTGGGAAAAGATGGACATAGACCAAAAGACGTGGCAAGAGCGAATGGATAACGCCCAGTGTTTGAAATGCGGGACCGCAAGGCATGTGATAGCATGGTGTCTGCTTATACGAAACCCAAAAGCCAGTCGCCAGTAGAAGTAACATCCGCTTCTACTAAGTTGAAGGATTCAGGAATAGAGAAAGGTAAGGCGCCTACTAACCCTTTAAATCCTTCAACTTGCAGGGCAGAGGATGATCCTTCTCCAGCCCCTCGTCCAGATCACCCTGAACCTGTCTTATGTTCCATTTTTCTGGACGACTCCCTTGACGAGCTGAGCAACAAGTTGCTAGCACTGCGAAGCTCGTGGGCTTAGAAAACAAAGTCTAAAGGTGAATTACTACTCGCTGATATGAAAATCGCACACGTACGCGCGGGTGCACTGTTAAACTCGGGATCTACACGATCCTACATTTTCGAAAAGTCTATTAAGAAATTACATCTCGGAATGAAGGTAAAAGACTTGTCTCAACCCATCACATCTATCTTAGCAGACAAGAGCACGATCACTGTCTCTCAGTATGTCGATCGTGTAAAATGYTATTTCCGCACGAGGGACGGAAARAKGATTGCACATGAAATCTCGTTTTTGGTAGAAAAGAGCTTGCCCTTTGATATGATTCTGGGAATGGATTGGCACGAGGAGGCCAACCCAGAAATCAACTTTAAGGATAAGTTAATACAACTACAAGATGTGCAATCCGAATTGAAAACCATTAAGTTGTATCATAAGTCTGGCTCTGATTCTAACTTATCGTTCTGTTGCATGAGTTATCCAGCTTTTCGATCCATGGTCAGGAAGAAGAAATTGGAACAGGAAGTGATGATRGTATTGGTAAAACAAGTTGGTGAAACTTCCGCTTCYTATCCACCCTCGATARAAAAACTCTTAGATGAGTATAAAGATCTATCTCTAGAACYTACGGGGATTACTGAGCGTGCTATAAAGCACACTATAGAAATCATTCCTGGAAGTAAGACTCCCAAGGGCCCTATTTATAGAATGTCTCATAGGGAACTTGAAAAACTGAAGAAACAACTYCAKGACTTGACCGAAAAAGGATGGATTTGCCCAAGCTCCTCTCCTTATGGTGCGCCTGTCTTGTTTGTGCCTAAGAAGGAAGGTGAGCTACGTCTCTGTATTGACTATAGAGGGTTGAATTCCGTCACTGTAAAGAATGTCGAACCCCTACCACGTATTGATGATCTGTTGGACCAGTTGCAGGGATGTAAGTATTTCAGCAAGATCGACTTGAAGTCTGGATACCACCAGATTGAAGTAGATCCCGCTGATCAGCACAAGACCGCTTTCCGAACAAGGTATGGCCATTACGAGTTCATGGTAATGCCTTTTGGTTTGACCAACGCCCCAGCGACCCTTCAAAGATCCATGAATGAATTATTTCGTCAGTGGTTAGATCAGTTTGTCATTGTCTATCTTGATGACATTCTAGTGTATAGTAAGACACTAGAAGATCACGAAAAACATTTACGTCTAGTCGTTACGCGAGGGTAACTTTAAGTTGAATCCCAAAAAATCCGAGTTCGCTAGGACTGAAGTTTTATACTTGGGACACATAGTGAACGAAGAAGGTCTCCGGCCTGAAGAAAAGAAGATCTCAGCAATTCGAGATTGGCCACAACCCAAGACTGTCACTGAGTTGAGATCCTTCCTTGGATTGRCCARCTATTACCGAAAGTTCGTTWGAAAYKTTTCACAAATAGCTGCACCCATGAGAAGACTGTTGAGAAAAKGAATGATATGGTTGTGGGACAAAGATTGTGAGTCTGCATTCAGGAAACTGAAATATGCATTAACTCACTATCCCGTCTTAAAAATTGCTGACCCTTCTCTTTCCTTCATTGTCACAACTSACGCGAGTCAGTATRGGATTGRCGYCGTCTTACAACAAGACGATGGCAAAGGATACAGACCCATTGAGTTTATGTCTGCCCGTTTGCCTACTGAGAAAATCGCCAACTCCACTTATGAAAGGGAATTGTATGCCTTAGTCTGTGCTCTGAAAACATGGAAGCACTATCTATTAGGAAGACATTTCACTGTGTATTCAGACCACTCTACCTTGCAGTGGATAAAGACACAGCCGAAGCTTTCTAATAAGCTGGTAAGATGGTCTGCATTCCTCGACACCTTTGACTTTGAACTAAAAACTATCAAAGGAAAGTCTAATGTAGTTGCAGACGCTCTCTCCAGAAGAAGTGACTTCTTTGGCACTATTGTCTCTTATCTAGACGTGGGAAGTAATTTGAAA